AGAGACAGACAGGCAGGCAGACAGACAGACAGACAGAGACAGACAGACAGACAGACAAACAGACACAGACATACATACATACTTGCGTACTCACATACACATTTATAGACGTATACATATGTTTATATGTATATACGTATATTCTGAGCTTGCACTGTTTCATTTATCATCGTATGTTTGCTGAGGAAACAAGAGCACACATGCATGCAGGTCCAGGAGCGGGGCAAGATCGTGGCAAGCTGAGTTGGTACGGCAGCCCTAAACCCTAAACCCTAAACCCTAAACCCTAGGAATGGGAAGCTCCGGGGGCTTCTGGCAGCCTCATGAGGCCTACCCATAGGCCCCATAGTAGTTCCTTGTTGGGGTTATATATCTTATAGGGTTCTACATATGAACCTCAAAGAGGAACTAGGGCATAGGGTCTAGGGGCTTCTAGGTTCTTGGTGGCTCGCTACGTAGCTTTAGCATTGTAGAAGCGCAAATAGAAGCGTAGCATGACGAGCAAGCCAGGGAACTCAGCATCGGAAGCAGAGAAGACTTGAACAGTGCGGTGGTGTTGTTTTATTCAGTTTCAGCTCGTCTGATCCCTTCTTAGATGCTGTTGCGGTGCAGTAGGTCGGTGAAAGCCTGTGCCCAGGAGATGAAAGGCAAGGGCCAGGCCAGCAATGTAGGGATTGCAGACTTCGAAAGACACAGGATCTGGCGAGCAGAAGGTCGGGGTGGCAGTAGGCGTTGAGTTCTGGAAGATTTCTATTTCGTAGCCAGGTGACCACCTACCTTTTTCGCGGTGCCTCGCGGCAAGCCGAGCTTTCGCGAGAGCTTGAAAGATCCCACGTCCACTTCGGGGGTCTCGCACCGGTCGAGAGGCCTGGGTTTGGCATTCTCGCAATCGCAACGTCTGCTGTGTTGTTGTTCTCACTAGTGACTAGTGGGCACTTTACGCAGCTATGGCTATATGATGTGAGTGCTGGCTATTTCGGTAAACAGGCACTATAGCCATTGCTCCGAAGCACATTCACGTTGGCATGTTGATAAAGATTTACAGCTTGATTTTGCAAACCGCATTGTATTCTCACAACTATGGTAAGCATGAGTTTGCCACACGGGTCGGGTTGGTTCGCATGATCATGATTCCCATGTCGGTTTCCCGCTACTTGCGATTGGTGGTGGTGCTGCTTGGCCTCCAGATGTCTTCTTATTATTCTTCGTATGCTTCGTGGTCTTCTTGTCGCTGGCGCTGTTGCTGTTGCTGGTTTAGTTGCTGCTGCTGTTGTTGTTGTTGTTGTTGATGATGCTGCTGGAGGCGTTGGTGTTTTTGGTCTTGTTGTTGGTGTTGCTAGTGCTATTGCTCTTGCTCCTACTCTTGCTGCACTTGCTCTTACTCTTGCTCTTGCTTGTTGTTGTGTGTTGTTGTTGTTGCTGCTGCTGTTGTTGTTGGTGGTGTTGGTGTTGGTGTTGGTGTTGGTGTTGGTGTTGGTGTTGGTGTTGGTGTTGTTGTTGGTGGTGGTGGTGGTGGTGGCCGTGGTGGCGGTGGTGGCGGTGGTGGCGGTGGTAATGGTTGTGGTTGTGGTTGCTGTTGTTGTTGTTG